CAGCCCCGAGCAGAGCCGGAGAGACACCCGCCGGACGCCCTCGGGAAAGAGGGGGGAGGGGAGTCTCGGGTGGGCTCAGGATTAGCCAGGAGCGAGGAGCATCCTTCACGCTTTCACCTCTCGCCCTGCAGGGCTCAGCCAGACCTGTGAACGTGACCTTGTTTGGAGAACCTCTTTGCAGATGTGACTAAGGGTCCGGTGGGACCCAGCCGTCCTTAGCAGGCCCGGAGGAGAGTCCCAGCAGAGAGGCCTCGGGAAGATGAGGCAGAGGTGGGGGTGACACAGCCACAAGCCCAGGAAGCCCGGGGCCCCCAGCAGCTGGCAGAGGCGGGAAGGACCCTCCCTGGGCCTCTGGAGGGAGCCGGCCCTGCGACACCTTGATTTCAGACGTCTGGCCTCCCCCCTGAAGAAATAAATTCTGTCGTTTAAGTCACTCTCCAGAGAGGTGGACTGGACACCTGGGCCATTCGGATAAAGAGGGGAGTGGGCGGAGCCGGGGGCCAGGCGGGCTGTGGGTCAGCAGGGGTCCATGTGGGGCTGTGGGTCAGCAGGGGTCCATGTGGGGCTGTGGGTCAGCAGGGGCCAGGCGGGCTGTGGGTCAGCAGGGGCCACGTGGGGCTGTGGGTCAGCAGGGGTTCATGTGGGGCTGTGGGTCAGCAGGGGCCAGGCGGGCTGTGGGTCAGCAGGGGTCCATGTGGGGCTGTGGGTCAGCAGGGGTCCACGCGGGGCTGTGGGCCAGCAGGGGTCCACACGGGGCTGTGGAAGGAAGGAGCCCCCCCCAACCAGACAGGACCCTCCACGGTCCTGTGTCAGGTCAGAGAGCTTCCTACGGAAATAATCCAACAAGAAATGTTCCCGTAAAGGTGCTCACGGAGTAGAGACAGCGTCACGCGGTTCCAAAGGGTTTTGTGAAACATGTCTTTGCTATGGAACATTTTAAACGTAAGAAAGTACAGAGACGCAGCCCACCCAGCGTCACAGTCGGCACCTGGCGGCTCACCTCCCGTCTGCCCGCCCCTCTCCCTCCACGTGACCCTGGAGCAAACCTCAGACATCACACTATTTGTAAGCATTTCACATGCATCTCTAAAAGAAAGAACTAAAAGTCAATGCTACGATCATGTTAAAAACAACTAACAAAAATTCCTTCACATTACGAAATATTCAGTTCAAAGCCCCAGTTGTCTCATAAATGTCTCATACATTTTGTTTCTCAGTTTATTTAAATTGGGATCCACATGATGTTAACGTGATTGGCTGATACGACTTTTAAGTCTCTCTCTTTGAAAAAAAATACACACACACATATATGTTAATTGACCTTAGAGAGAGAGGAAGGAAGAGGGAGAAAGAAAAACATTGATCAAACCCCAACCGGGCACGTGCCCTGACCAAACAGTGATCTCCCGGTGCAGCGACGACGCTCAGTCACCTGAGCCACCGCTATGGCTTTTAAGTGTCTCCTAACCTTGCCTTGCAATACAGCTGTGCCGAGGGCCTGGTGGCTAAAAGCCAGGCTTTGCCCAGTCCCACTGAGCAGGACCGAGTGTCTGTACCACTGGCCACAGACAGACGTCAACCTACAAAACCCAGACTGTGGGGACTCAGCGAGGAAATAACCCAGTTTCTCCAACAAATCAGGGGTGAGAGAAGGAGAGGGAGCGGCCGCCGTGAGGGACACTGGGAAGAGGCCCAGGTGGGGCTGCAGCTGGAGCCTGACCCACAGCAGCAAACAAAGAAAGAGGCATGGTGTTCACGAGGTGAGCACCACTGACAATCAATGGTATTGAGGAATTATTGAAGATTTGCTTCCGGGTGGGACAATGGTATTGTGGTTCGGTTACAGAGCCACCCTGAAGCCTAGACGCAGGCTGAGGCATTCAGGGGGCGGGTGGGAGAGCCAGGCTCACGGGGGTCTGGGCGGCGGCCAGGCGAACTCCCATACTCCTCTGGTCCTCCTGCACCTCCTCCGTCTCCACAGAGGGTAGAAATAGCTTTACAAAGGCCTTAGGATGCTCTCATAGTTCTTTCTTATTTTATTCAAAGCAGGAGGGGCTGGGCTCGGGGCATCCGATGCCCAGAGGGTCATCTGAAGTGTGTGGTCCCATCTTCTGTTCCACACAGACACCCCCACCGCCCGCCTCCTCACAGCAGGCACCCAAGTCCCAAACCACCGTCCACCGCGGACCCGCTTGCTGCAGCCACCCCCCGCTGCACACGTGTCGTGTCTGTCTTGGCAAAGAAAGAACCTGGGGGCTGAGAGCCCGCCAGGAGCCAGCCTGCCTGAATTCATGCCCGCTCTGCCCCCGCCTGGCTGGGAGCGTGGGGAAGGCGCCTCGCCTCTGTGCCCGCACTCCCGCAGCCGGGGTAACGCAGCACCCACCCCAGGACCGAGGTGAGGCCGGATGCCGAGCATACTGCCGACGGCAGGGTCAGACACTCGGTAAATATTTGTTAGCATCAGAAACTGGCACACGTGATCGGGCATCCACAGAGATAAGCGGGCAGGGTCGCCACCTAACGCCCTGGGAGGGGGTGGGGGGGTGGGTCAGGGAAGGTGAGGCCGAGATGGGAGGCTCAACCTGGGCGTGGAAAGGGCGCCCAGGAGGGAGCCCAGCAAGGCGAAGGCCTGGAGGGCACACACAGCTTTGGGCGGGCACTGTGCAGTCTGCATCCTGTGTGGGCTCAGGGCTGTGCCACCGGAGAGGAATGGCGGCGCAAACCAGCTACCGCGGGCACTGCTCGGAGGGGCAGCCGCCCAGGGGCTCGGGCACACACTGTTCCCAGCACCGCGTCTCGGACATCCACAGCTGGGCCTCTCCGCCCGGGCTGCGCTCCCCGCACCTGCTTGCCGACCATTTGCTGGTTGATACGCTCCCTTCCCAGAGAGGCGGCTCCTAGTGCTGGCCACCTCCAGCCGCAGACACAGCGGCTCTTTCCGAGCCTTTCCTGGGACAGGCCAGGCGTGCAGACAGACACCGCAGGCCTCCAGGGCACCAGGAGATAGAGAATCCTGGCAGGAAGCAGTAAAACCATGCCGAGCCGGGGGCAGGGGGGCGGGGGTCAGGGCAGTCTTCCCAGGGCGGAAGCTAGCTGGCCGATCCCTGGTGTTGCAGCGGCCGTAGGATAACAACAGACTAATGATGGTGATGATGACCATCTATGCCAGGTCCCTCTCCAGTGAAAGGAACAGGGTCCTGAGAGCAGTGCTGGTTCCAGGCCCGGGCACCTCGTAGGGCAGACAGTAAGGAGCATAAACAGTGAATAGACACATGAACACTGGACGGGGCATGGCAAAGGGCGGGGAGAGTCTCCGTGGGCACAGAGGGTCTGTAATGAGACTGACAAGTCCAGTGATGCAGTCACCTCAGGGTGGTCTGACCATACGTGCCTACCTGGGCGGGTCCTGGCGGTGGGCACGCCCCGACACATGGCTTCTTTAGTGGAAGGTTTGCTTGGCCTGAAGCAAGCCCTGCCCACTGCTCCCGCGCACCCAGTGAGCACACCTGTGACAGACCCTCAGCGGAGCCACATCGTCTCGTTAACCATCCTGCCTTCCTCCCGCCCCCTCCATGCCATCGACCTCACGTTCCCGCCTTCATTCCAAATGCAACAGAGAAGCTGCCAGCTGCCCCTGTGCAGAGCACCTGAGCTCTTCCCGGCATTGCGGGCAGTTTGACTCAAACAAACAAAAATTCTCTTTGGGTTTGGACGTTCTTACATGGACACGCCCAGTGACCAAAGCTGGGCGAACCTGAGCGGAGGATGAATAACTTGGCCCAAATGCACACGAGCCCCCCTGGGGGAATACGCCACCCACAGGCGCACACACACGGAGAGCCGGCCAACCTGCCTCGCGGAGGGCTCCCCGGAGCACAGGTC